TGGTGTAGTGGTCTTGCTGGGCGAGGCCAGCCTGGGAGAGGTGGAGATCTGCGCAGGTCCAGCCTTCATCCAAGACGCTGGCAAAGGCGAGGGGAAAGAAAAACGGAGAAATGGAGTCAAAATCAGCAGGAGCCCGGCCCGGCGGAACAAACGCCACGTCCAAGTCCTTAGTGACAAAAAAAAAAAAAGAAAAAGAAAAAGAAACAAAACACCCTTTAGGAAAGGGAGAGCATCTTGTTCCTCGGCCGCAGCTCGCGGGCGCCAAGGAGAGGGGAACAAAAGGGGCACAGTTCGGAGAGCCGCGAGCGGCGCGGCACGGTGAGGAGCATCCAGCACGGGGCAGCTGCCAAAACGCTTCGCCTGGCTTCCTCGTCCCACAAAAACACACGACATCAACAACTTGGAAGGGGCCGGGTGGGAGAAGCAGCAAAGCTCCCCTGACCCAACACCACAGGGGTGGTCTCCAAAGGCTTTGCAGCACAGAGTGAAAAAAACCTCCTGAGGAGCTCAGTGACTTCCAGCCGGGTCAGGAGCATTTTGGGGGCAGCTGAGAGGCCAAGGAGAGAAGTAGAGAGATGCAGAGAGGTTTGCTGGGGGGGAAAAAGGGATGCGGGGGCAGAGAAATACCTGACTTTGCAGTAAGCCTGCCGCCGCTCGATCCAGACGTAGCGCAGGCCCTCGAAGAGATAATACCGCAAAACATTCTTCTGAGCAGAGGGATGGAAAATATCAGGTGTTGGTAGGAGACAAGGAGGAGGAGAGCCCATGCCCAGGGAGAGAGGATTTGCGAGAATCAGGGTTACCTCTTCCTTCTCGTGCAGCCGGACGGTATCGCGGCTCTCCTCCTCGTCCGACACGCCGATGGCGATGCTGGTCCTCCGGTCCTCCAGCCTGGCCCCAGGGTGATGCTCCAGGCTGCTTGAGGTAGAAAACCGAGGGTTGGTCCCTTCCTCGTCCCGCTGTGCAAAGCCTCCCCCGCTTCCCTGGGAGGCCAAAGGAAACACAAAGCCCCCCCGGACCCCACCTGGCTCAC